TTGCGATCGCTTCCTACCGAGTTCCATGCATTAGCCGTTGATGCACCGAACCGATGTTCTCTGTCACCTAAGCATAAGTCCGATAGTCACACGTCCGGACTTCACTCCACTACTCAGCATCCCATCTACACGCAATAGTTGGGTGCTGCATCGCAATGGGTACCACTGGTGTTCTGATATGCGTCAGTCGGATGCGTTCCTTCCCATCTGCCTACCTAACCCACTTCTTTTCGCGTCTGAAATGTGCCTCCTGTAGTTCCATCGGGTCAGACTCATCTGCGTGTTTACTGTGTTTGGTTGGAGATGCAGATTTCTCAGACAGGTAGTTGTTCGCTTTTGGGCGTGGCTTCATCCGACATGCATGTGTCAGTTTCGGCGAGTTTGTATGGTTACCGAGAGCTGCGTGCTTCCTTGACAAACACGTTTTCTACACTTTACATTAGAGACACAGACTTGCACTTGATGTCAACGTTCTATTTTGCCGTCATCCGATTGCGTTCAGTTCAGTTGCTCAAGTGTATGTGCATAGATCCAGTTTTCATAACTATCATCACCATGAAGGTAAAGGTTTATGGCGGTTGGCAAAATAACAAATCCATGCAAATTAAAAACATCACACGGAAAGAATTAGCTTAAGCTTAACTTATCGTATAAGAAGGTTAGCAGGGAGTTTCTAGAGATCTCCATTCATTCAGTGGCTGCACCATGTCGGATATGTTCTTCAACCACCATTGTGACCGATCCCAAGGTACCCATCACATGCGACCTTGTGTAACAAATTGCCTGAGCCTGTCCACTCTTGATATTTTTTACCTCATCCACTAACCACTCTGCTGACTAACCCAATTTGCGAACGACTCGCTGACGTAGGCAAGCACTCAAAGAACTCGGATTGGAGTTTTTGGAGGGCCCGCCGTTTGTTTGGATTGCGAGACGCAGTCTTTATTGGGACTACGGTTCATCTTGAAGTAGATTCCGATCATCCGAATCACTAATAACGTACGCCAAGTGAAAAGCTCTCGATGTTACTCCCTTCCAACACTATTCTCCACGACCAATAGTTCCTTCTTCGTTTGAACAGTGTATCCGGAACGGGAGGTTAGGCCTTAGACGTGACGGATAGAGTGTGATAGGAATATGCAATCAAGGAGTCAAGACGGCTGATATAGGTGACGAAGCAAGTGGCTAGACTGCTGCAAACGATGGCTTGATGTCTCCGCTTCTCTGCTGATATATTAGGTTGCGCTGGAGTGACTTTGTTTGACCGAAGCAAAGAAAGAATTTCACGAACTCAAACGCGTTGTCAGTTATGCAAGTGGCCTTGTTACATACATTGTGGCTTCCAGAAACTCGTCATGCAGTCATTTTCCCGGGTATTGCTTTTTGAGTAAACCGTTTGTCCCTGCAGGACCGAGTTCTGCAACATAGACTGTTCGTGATCAACTGAGGTTTCAATATGGATTGCATCTCGCAATCTAAACAAACGGCGGGTGCTCCAAAAACCCAGAGTTAAATTCCCAACCGCTGTGTCAATCCTCGGTCATGAATCTCAGTGGCCCAACGACCGAGGGGTCAGCCATCAACCATTCCGTCCCTTGTCCAACTCCCTACTCCGACTACCTCTACCTGCTGAGTGCACGCGAAGACGAAACCGATCGATGAGTGCATCGTTGGGGACGACCGATATCGAAACTCCGCACACGATGAACTTGTTGAAGCCAGCGTAGGTGGCTCCAGTGCTAAAGATGGCATCGCGTTGCACCATCATTTTTGCCATCAAACACGAACTGCTGAACTTTACGGCACGTTCTTTCGGTGGTCCTACCAGATGTAAGATTTACTCTTTCTCTCTTTATATGCCACTAACAACCTCGTTTATGCGGAACCGCATCTAACATTTCTGTCAAAGACACCTATTGCAGATCACTTTCCCACTGTGGTACACCGACTAAGCTAGATTGGTCGTTTTGCCCTAGACCTTGCCTGTTTCCCACCTCGGTATTATCACCTGGTGGACAGAGGATGATACTGCAGTGTCGCATAATGGGTGTAGTCGGAACTCTGAGACATATCACTGCATGCTGTCTTCGCGGATTGTAGCCACACTACAGATCATACCAGTAGACAAAATCACTCAAGGATACGCTGCGTTGCACTTCGCGCACACTTTGTCTTGGATCCTCCTCTAGCGCGTCCTAAATGTTGGTGACAATATACCACTGGCTTGCATCCTTAACCTCCGGTTTTGACACTCCTTCTATGGATTGACGGAATCTTACCGTTACAATACCGTAACTTGATGCGTCCGTGCCTAGTATGTCATCCAGTTTTCGGCAAGCTTGGGCAGTTTTGCGTCCTTGTAGGAACTCATACAACAAGCGTCTACGAACAGCTTGTTGATCAGTTGATATTATCACAGTAGTTATGAAATTATAGGAGAATTGGACAATGCAGAAGTATTGTTCCAGGATATCCCATGTATACCCAAATCGAAAAAATCTTTAAGAAAATTCTAGAAACGTATGAAAAAATTTCAGTCGATTTCTAGACTACCCAAATGTTTATCTAACATTCGGGAAAACACACGTTCTCATTCATTCGGCCCTCTGCCCTGTCAGTTTCTTTTTCCCGTGACCCAAATGAAGACAACGAGTAGCTTATTCGGTTGCGACCATCCGGAGCGATTTGTGGAGCGCAAGCTTCAGAAAGTTCTTTATGCACATCCATGGTCACTCATTGTATGGACAATGACACTGGGTTTTATGTAAAGAAAAGACGCGGAGCGATTTATTGGGTGCTGAAAAAAGAAATTCAGGATAGTTTTCCTACTTCTTTAAATAGAACCGCCAACTGTTTGTAATCATTGTAATTTAGTTTATAGCTGTATCTTGTCATCCCTAATGTCAACAGGAACATTATCTATTTTAACGAACACATGTCCCTGCCTATGCAACCAGTATAGAAGTGTGACGAACGGAACACTCGTCATCGTGAACCTAGCGCCATAACTGAGGCTGTTCTGATAATGGCGACAAATCACTACATACTTTTCAAGTTGCCCACACCATTGGGATGCTTGGCTTATTGAAGGAGTGTGAGCCGGCTCCGTTGATAAAACGTGGCTCCCATTCATATGCCTCCCGGTCTTATTCCTTCGGGTTTATACTGGATATGGGGTGTGTGGGTGGTGCAGCGCAAGCCACCCCCATGGTGCCTCTGTAGGCGCAGGCGTCCCATGGCTATCTCCTGGATGCCGCAGTAACTGGTAACTCCAGAAACGGAATCCGCCATCTATATATATATATATATATATATATATATATATATATATATATATATATATATATATAAAATCATATCAATGTCTACCTGTACTATATTCTGCAAACTTGTACACGTCGCTTAAGCTAATTGTAGTTAACTTCGATAACATTTTCTCGGTTGTGGCATTTTCTTACGATATAATCTTGACGTATTGAACTTTTTGCAGTCAGTTTATTTCATACGCTCATTTAGTGAAGGGTTACGTCACCATATCTTTATGTACTATTCGATTTATATTATTTGATCTCGTCGTCTCAAGTGATTGGCTGTTGCTTGATATCCCCGGTGCGGCTGCGCTTTCTGTGCATGTTGACAAGGTGCCTACCTGTCTATTACCCACTACCTCGTTCATACTGGCTCCAAGAGACAGTTGGGCGTTGCTGGAGGGGACGGAGTACACGGTCCTTGTGGCCGTGCTAGGCTCGAAGAGTGGTTCCATGCACTCAGTGTGGAGCGGACTGCGGTCCAGCCACCGCCTTGTGTGTGCTTGGTTCTCCAAATACGGCATGCTTGTTTGCTTGCGAATGAGTGTGGACAGGCTCAGTTGATGTAGCGTGGCTCCCATCCACATGCCTCGCGGTCTTATTCGTTCGGTTTTACACTGGATATGGTGTGTGTGTGTGTGTGTGTGTGTGTGTGTGTGTGTGTGTGTGTGTATGGAGCTGTGGATGGTGCAACGCAAGCCACCCATGGTCCCTCTGTAGGCGCAGGCGTCCTGTTTCTGGCCACACTGACAGGCAAATCCGAAATCGGATGCTACCACCATATATCTAAATAATGCACAATCTCTGGTGCAGATATTGTGCCGTCGGAATTATGGCTGAATGAGAAATGGTGTGAGTAATAAAGAAAGTACGACAACAACATGGTTTTTTGTCCCGTTTGCCATTCACAGTTTTTCTAATTTTTTCAGTTTGTTTGCTTGTGATGCCTTGTTGCTTAAGGAGGATTGCTCGTGTTTGATGGCAACATCGAGTTAATAGTAGTGACGTTCGACGTCGCATCTTGGGGAATGCAAGTATTTCCTTCAGCAAACTGGTTTTGTTGCGCCAGTTAAGATGGCTCGGTCATGTCCTACGCATGGTATCTGAGCGTCTACCGCGTCGCGCTCTATTCGCTCGTCAAGGACCTGGCTGGAAGCGACCGCGTGGTGGTCAGCCTTCCACTTGGCGGCGGCACATGAAATCGCTGACGTCGTGTCTAGCCGCTATGGGATCCGTACGTCTTCCCTGATGGGGACCCAAAGATGAGGAGTGCCAATGGCTAAGGACTCTTGAAGACATGGCCCGCAACCGGAATCAGTGGAAGAATTGTGTACAGTATTGTATTGATTCACATGTTTAATACTTCCAATATTGAAAATGACAAAAAAGAGCAAAATTGGCGTATGGCAAACAAACTAAAAATGTTTTGTTCTATGTTTTGTCAAAATGTTCCATTCTTCCTGCGGCATATTAGCTGAAGTGTGTTGCCCACCTTCAACTAGCATGTCACGATGATTATGACGCAATGACTGTCTCCTATCCATTGATCTCCATGGCTTTGTTGGCTCTATGTCTAGTTACTAGACTGTTGAGATTACATGCAAACATACATTGCTTGTGACCGTACTTTATATAGTCTTCTAGATGCTTATACTTTCTCCTTATATCCCCTGCTTACTCCACTTTTTCCAGGCTGTTCATTTGGTTCACGGAGTCACCGCCCGTGAGATGTGCTCCTACTTTTGGGATGTACAATTTCGGATGGACTGGGAATTTACCATAGATCGCGCTCCAACTGTTCTGGAGGTTTGTGGCGATGACACAGTGGTGTTACATCAGGTACGCACTGACATCAATCCTTTTTCTCCTTCCATTTCCGATCTATGAGTGCATTTTTGTTGTGTGAAACCGATGCGTCTAAACTTTTCGCCAGCGAATTTGCACGTTGTCAATATCTATTACCCTTTCAGCTGAACCGTGTAGTCCAGACCACCGAAGGGTTACGGTTCTCGATTGGTGCTTGTCTGCTTGGCGGTACAACACAGACTTCAGGTTACACTCGTTCAGATTTGGATGCATCCTCAGCTGCCTGTCTGGTTGGTTTTTAGCAAATCAGTTTACGTTCGCCAGTCGGTTCTGTTGTGCACCCATCGCGAAGACAAGAACATCGTTGTCAAAACAGCAGTATATCCATACTTTGAACTGATAATTTTTTGTTATGCAACCGTAAATAAGAAAGGTGGCTTTGCTACTTTTGAACTAGAGAGCGGACGCGATGTGCAATAATCGGCGATGTTCCCATCGCTTCGTACGATCGATTACGGAACGAATGAGGCGCGTTAGCCTTGGCGAATGTTGCGTTTACCCTCGCTCGCCGTTTACTGAAGAGGTAAATGTGATCGCCAGCTCATAAGTCGTGGGGTTCAAGGTGGACTACCCTTGAACCGACAGCGGAAAGCTAAGTCAACGACTGCAGCTTTGCTGTTGGTCCGATTGCTCTCCATTTTGGAGTCCACGTGACGCATTGGGCTTGTCGGCCAGTGCTATAGTGGTTCAGACTTATGGCTTGTATTTCTCAGGTCACTGTTTCTATCCTTCGTAAATGCAAGTGACCTCGCAGTGTCATTAACCTGCATGGGATCTCCAGCATTCGCGTGGTATCGAAGCATCAGTGCCAGGTTCTTGTGGCGTGCTCTTAGGTTGGCGACTTCAGTCGATGTGATGCACAATCAGCGCGTTGGGTTTGTTTATTGCCACCCGTTAGGCAGATCACGTTTGCAGTGTGTGATGATGTTAATTATGGCGCGAGCCAGTCGTTTATGCCCGTAGGCATCCATAAAGTACAGATGCGTATACTCTGAACATTTATCTAATAGGCTTAGGTCACACCTTGGACACTTCAACTTGTTTTTTTCTAATCTGTATGGCTGCCTTTTATTGTATGGTTGCTTCCTAGGGGAGTACTGATTCAAGACTCTTGTTTCTTACCATAGGTTTTCTCTTTGGCAGCGGTAATGATGATACCGTGATCCGTTTGACCCTTTTCATTCAAATGCCTTCCCTAGACCGTGTTACTACCCTGTGCATTTCCTATTTCTGACTAATTATTGCTTTATTCAGCTAGAGTATCGCGTTAGTTGCCCCGTAGCCAATGAGACTTTTGAGTGATTGATTTTCTGGACCGAATGCTTGAGCATCAGTGGTCAAACATAACCCCACTCCCGTTTAAGTACAGCCACTTTTGTGTGGATGCATGTGACAGCTTAAAACCACTTCATGGTGTATCAGGCAAGCGGGCCAATGAACAGTTTACGTGACCATACAAAGTGAACGACACATTGGGGCCCTCCATCATTCCGTTACACGCATCTAACCGTATCATCTCCTGGTAGTCGACACTCGTAGGCTACTCGCACGGATAGAAATCACTATCAAAATGGCACTTCTGGTACTAAACAAATGCAACCATCCCTTGGCGACTCCCCATTATTTCACGGAATGACGACTCCACCCCCTCCGAGTTAGTCAGCTGTGTTGGCGATGTTGCACCAGCCTACAACACACAGCGATTTTAGGTGGGCCAACTCAGATACTTCGCACTTTAAAATGAGAGCGATTGACTCACTGTGTGTTTGCGCGTATGATCGTTGCAAGTCGTTCGATTCAACTTCATCTACGCCTGCTTGTGTGTCTGCACTCGCATGTTATCCAACGGACGGAGTTTGACACGTCTCCATTGTATTACTCCAGCGGTCTAGTTTTCAAATGGTGAATCATTTGCATCCAACGCGTAAGCATGTTGATATCAACTTTTTGGTTTTCGTGTCAACTCCGGGCTCAACGTATGTCGTGTACGTGTAGTTTATATAAACACAAAATACTTGAAAGGTGTTTGTGAGTAGCGTAAGGTTCGTAGAAAATAGAAGTCACGATTAAACTGCGCACAATAATCTGCCTGGACGGGGAATCGAACCCCGGTCCCACGAATTTCCGGTCCGCTGCTCTACCACTGAGCTACTGAGAGCTGACGATTAGGGGCGCAATTTAATACATCGCGCACCAAGCAGAAGTCATGTATTAAATTTCGCACCTAATCGTCAGCACTCGGTAGCTCAGTGGTAGAGCAGCGGACCGGAAATTCGTGGGACCGGGGTTTGATTCCCCGTCGAGTGCGCAGTTTAATCGTGACTTCTACTTTCCACAGACAAAAATAATCAAATCAATCTACTTTATTCCTTATGCTTACATTTGTCTGTCACACCTTTCCGGCAACTTCCTGTTTTTTCCCTGTACATGAACCTGAGCTAGTGAGTACTGAACAGACTAGCCTGTTGTCATTTTTCCGCTAGCATAGCGGTTGCCAGCTTCGCCTCTGTTAGAAGTGTGGCACACATTTCGGCTCTTACATCTATCAGCGCATCTCTACTACCAATGTTATTTGATAGTTCAATACTCATAAATTGCCAATCAGCGTAATGATTAGTTCACTTCATTTTGCTGCGTTGACCAGTCAGCGCAGCACGTTCACAAATGCAGATTACTTTCGGGGTCGCATTTGGATCATCTCTTCAATCATGTTATCCAATCAGCTGGGTATGCATCTGCACGCAGTTTGGATTCGGTTATGAAACCCGTCTTGCGTTGCCAACACAGTGGTCCGAACATATTGCGCTTGGGCAGTAAAAGGTATTGGTAGTACGTCCAGATTACACGAAAGGCGTATAACTTAGTTCTTGTGCACGGGCTGGTATGACATATAGTGTACCGTCGTTACAGCTTTAATTTATTAATTACTGCTTAATTACTGCCTAATACCTTTGGCATGGGCTTCGCACTTTCAAAGTACAATGTTATTACAGGTCCACCATCCAATGCGTGATCCATTGCCCCTTGATGCCGAGGAGCTCCGGATAGTTGGTCAATTCACTTACCTTGGCAGCTGCATCTGCAACGATGGGCACATAAGCACTGAAGTCAGTTCACTCATTGTAAAGACCGGAACTGCCTTCGAATTTGCGACATATTTTGCTTCAAAAAGGGCTTTTCCTCAGTCTGAAAGACCTTAGTGGGACTTAGCCGCTTTGATCTGAGGTCCTGCTGCGCCTTCAAGTCTTTGATCATCGTTGTCTGCGAAGCGTGATCATGAATGTTTGCTTATGACATTAGGGTTTTACGCTAACCACCCTTCGTTCCGTAGGTCACTGTGCTTGTACGACAGTGGACCATCAATTCACATGATCGATGTGCTGCTGTTTATGATGGTAATGCTTAATACGTGATTCCCACTCAACTGCCTCCGATAGGAATGTTGAACTGATTTATCCACCTCGACATCTGATCTTGTGAACTTTGATGCTGGATGGATGGTACAGCTATTAAATGTTCCGTTGTTTCCAACCCCATACTTTATCCTCCTGGCTTTATACCACACATGAGGCTTGTTGTTGCATTATATTCACTACAATCGAGTCTTTCATGAACCACTACATAGTTTCGCGCTCCCTCTGCACCGAACACTGTTGACACCAGCTCGTAGCGAGAATGCCACGAACCGTGCAAATCACATTGGTTTCGTGGCACTAGAATCAAGCATTCATTCTCGACTAATCGCACTGAGTTTGATTCGCTTTTTACTGTGATTCATGACTTCATGTGGCTGCGAGTTAGGGTGCTCCTAAATTATTCTCCTATTGCTCCGCCGTACATAATTTCCCTACGAAATGTTCATCCGTTATAAGCAGCGCCCCACCCAGCGGAACTATATTGTCGAACTCAGGCACCAGAAGCAGCATGTCCAGGTGTTCGCTCAGTTTATTTATTTCTTTCACTTTGGTACTCTCAGGTATACAAACGAGTTTGGCCAACAACTCAGCGTGATGCTCTCTTCTGGTCTCACATTCGTCAAGTTGGTGTACGTTCATCAACCCTTGCTTCCGACAAAGCACATCATCGCTCGTTCTCTACAGACACATGTACGGTGCGCGAACCTGGTCTTTTCGAATCACCCTCCACCGATTCGTCCAACAACCCGGATGGCGTGCTGGATGGTTGGATGGTTGTCAACATGTCCACAGATTACCAAGCTGACAAGGTTCCCAAAACTTCCTCGCCGATGATACGACTTGGTTTGGATGTGGTGTTATATTGTCAGACACTGTTCGATCCTTCTCCGCCAAGCACTCACTCATCCGAATCGCTCCCTCGTGATCGACTGCGAACTCGTTTGGTTTACATGGCCAACATCAATCCGGGTGGGTGGGTCCCAGCCGCTGGTCTTAGGACACTCGCTGCCCGTGAATATCCTCGATTTTTGCGTCGTTTCAGTTCTTATGTTCAGGATCAGACGCGCGACACAGCGCCTCTTTTCTGACCGAGTGTTCGCTAGTGCCTGCTTGTGACTACCGAAGAATCATTGTCTCATGTGCCTTGTATATGCCCCTTGACATATCCTGCAACCTCACATCAGCTGTCGCTTTTGACTCCCCATGTTTGAGCTCAGTCCCCGCCTTTCTTTTTCGTGCGGCTTTCAGATATCTTTCCAGCTGCTCTATGTTTCATTCGCTCCGTTCAGCTAATCGCTGCAACTCAATCTGATTTCTCGTCATGCCCATTTCTGCGGACTTCATAAATGTTTTTATATGTATTTTGCTCACGATTTTAGACATTATCACTATCATCCCAACTAACTCATGCGTTTGTGCTCTTCGATGTTCGTTATACCGCTGTCTGGTTCTCCTTTTGCCTTGTCTCTTTCGGCCTTCGTTGCTTTAGATTTCTTGTTATTTTGAACATTATTCACTGAATATTACTGTGATTGGCCCTTGCGACCTGTTTTAGTCTGCTTCATTTCTGGTGGTTTTTTGGCTTAATGGTCGAGCGAAATCCGTAATTTTATCGACATTCGCTTCTTCACAATTTGCCCTTGGTTCATACGACAAATTGGTCGGCATATGTTCTCCGCTTTATTTGAGGCGCCTTTCATCACCATCATCAATACGGTTAGCTGTAGGTGATAACTACACTTCAGCTAATGTACCGGAATCCAAAGAAGGGAAGTTCAAATAAGTTCCACTGACTATGTTGTTCATCTCGACTACGAACTGTTGCTAACAATGCTTTTATGGTTTTCCGTCGTTTGGAATCTATCCAGTCCCCCACTGTTAGCCAGTATGGACTTTCCTTAACAGTTTAATTTGAATACGGCGTATATATATATATATATATATATATATATATATAGGGGTTCGCCATAAGGTGAGATCAACCAGGAGGGCCGTATTCAAATTGCCGATAGGCGTCCAGTGGGTTTTTGCGGAGTTTTGGCTGCAGATGCTGTAACTCCAGTGGCACTGCGTCTGCTTTCAGTGTAACTGGGAATTGTAGAAGGTTGGTTAATAATGGTGGTCTAGAGGGGAGTAAGAAAAACAGGTGGGAAAGAAGGGAAGTGTCAGCAGTAGCATGTTTTCGCGTGTCCGCCCTTATGAATGCAGCAGGTAAGGCGACCCTTGATAATCTGCGCGACGGCTGATGCAGGATGAAGTTTATGTTTGAAGAAAAAGTCATGGTTGTGTGTGAGCTGGGATACTGACAGGGCGCTCGGATCTAGACAGGAGGAGGGTTAGGGTCTTCAACCAAAGGATTTGGCTCAAAAGCCCGTCCGCAAGCCAGTGGGGTGGTGGCAGTGATTAAGCTTTTTGAAAATGGATGCCTTACGCCGGTACGCTGTACCATCGCTACGCTGCCACGCACTGGTCACTAGTCGCGCATGATCTAAGGATACTGCGAGGGTCTTCTGGTCCCCTACGCAGACTCGTACCCGCGGCCTCCGAGTTTCAAGACTTGCTATACCCCTTCGGCCATGGGCCGGCCAAAAATAAGTACAAATATTTGTGTTTGTGACATATGGCACTTTGGATTCTGTGCTACATTTTCTAATTTTCGATGCGCCAGTGTACTTGACGAACACCTGACTGGTGTTCACGATTGAAAAACGGAGACAAAAGCGGCTACGAGCCAGAAGTTGTTACGGAAGTGTATTCATTCAGCCTGGACATGTGCATTTGTTTCTTATTTTTGCCAGACGCCACCGATACAGTTTTCGGGATTGTGATGTCCCATACGTAGCAACCGTGTTTTGAACGGTTACATTACCATTCATTTCAAGATTTAACGAGTTCAGTGTGCATCATGTTCTCGATCTCTTTGAATCCTTTTCCAGATCTCAGGGTATTGAATTCAAAAAAATAAAACGTACCCTTTTTGTGGACTTTTCGGAATCGTGACCTTTGTCTCCCTACAGTGCAGAAATACATGCGAACGTCATCATTAGAACTGTTCGAATGGTGATTTATGATACTGAAACTATAGCACAACTTAAGCTTCATTTTCCGAGACCTGACTTAGTCAAGTCCAGTTCGATGCAGTGCTCTCCGTATGTCATTTTTGAGGAATTACCGCATAGCTTTTTCGTGAACCGACGCTGGATCTTCTCAAGAACCTCGTGGTCTAACTTTCACAGGTTTGATTAGACCAGTGAACTGTATTCCATACTCGGTAATAAGTGTGTATTGAGGAGCCAGATTCGATATTCGGTGACATAAAATATCGGCGTACATACCCAGTAGTATTAAGTTGCATTTCAACAATACGCCTTGCACATAGCCTTGGCGTAGTGCCGTTATTCCCTGCCTATAATTTACACACCGTTTCTCGTCTTTCTGTTTCGTGCTGCGGGATAAGCCTACATTGCCTTTCGGTTTTCGCTTAGGGAATTCACAAATCCAACATCCTCTTAGATTATTCGTTATTACGCACCTACTTTCATTATGGCCTTCGCAACGAGACTGGACCTTAGTGTGGTGCGATGATTTACGTACCCCCTTGACCCACTGGACTATGCTGGGTGACACTTTCCCAGTGCCTTCGGAGACTCTCATACCACGCAGGTCAATGGTTAGTGATCAGACTCAGTCTGGCAATCTAATCCTCTCCTGACGTTAGGGAGAGGTCAATGGCTCTCTTCCTTTTAAACCTGGACATAGGAGACAACAGTTCTACGCGTTATAAGCTCACAGCTTGATTGGCATAGAGCGCCACGCATTGTCTCTGACCTTGAACATCTTCCGGTGCTCAGTGGTTTGCTACCGTCCACCTCAAGCCCCGCAGCCCCTGGTCAAATTGGTGCAAACCCGCTAATTCCCACCTGTGGTTGTCCGTGATCGCAGGTGCGTTACTTAATGCGGTCGTAAAACACATGTGCGCTGTTCTAACTCTTCGAAGGCTGTGTGTGACAGGCCTCTAGCAAATCCTGCTGGGTTTCTCCAGTCACATTCCCGAGCTGGACTTGCTCTCCACTGCCTTGTGGGTCAGGCTCTAGAAGTAGGGCACCTCGAACAAAACCCCTCTCGGAACGGGCAGTTAGAGAGTATCATTTGCCCTCTCGACCATGTCAACAGTAATCCCTCTTCGTCTTGTTTTCTCTCTCTTCTTCTTCGTCTATACAGCAACAGACTGCCGCTGGCCTTGCAGCTGTTGCCATCGACACATGTAGCTCTTCCATCAAACCTAGTTTTCATTTCACATTGGTTCTTTTAACCTCCACACTCTAGGTCAGATCGACCATGAGACAGCACTGACTCTCACTCTTCGTTTTTGGTATTCTTGTGTGCTGTGTCTCTTAAGCATGCATACAAGGCAACAGCGTTGTGACGAATTTTCGACTTCATGGTTCTGAATCTGATCTCGATAGCTACAATCTTCGTGTCTTTAGCGATACTGAGTCAATTGTTCAAGGGTTTTACGGTGTTGCTATTTCCCTCAGCAAGCATGTGCAATTGGATACCGGTGAACGGACTCATGTGTGCGGTTCGACTTCGAATCTCTATTGGAGTTGATAAGTAGCGTCTGAAAATAAGGTGCGTTTACATCGCCTCATGTTATGCCCCTACTGAATGCAGTTCAGGCGGTATCAAAGACAATTCCTATCAATAGCTCTCATCTCTTCTTCGCATGGAGAAGAACACTAACATCGCGATTGTTGCTGGTGACATAAATGCCCAAGTTGGTGGTCTTTCAATCTCTGGCAACTCACTTCGGAGTCGATGCACACCGCACAGTTGATGTTGATCGAGTACTGCAACTGTGCGCCGACCACATTCTTTGCCTTAGCAGCGTTACTTTCCAACACAAACGTTCCCACCGCGTCAACAGGCACCCACTGAATTCCTCAATGACCTGGACCCATATTGCCATCAGCTGCAAATGGCGCACATCAGTCCAAGACTGTCATTGTGGAGCTCGTGCATGGATTCCGAACATAAAACATTGGGTCCCATTCAGCCACTTGATAAAAGCAGAAAGAAGACATAGATTGCGATATGTCAACATTTCGATTGTTCTCCTCAGTCGCATACAAAATACAAGCGGAAACACACACACACACACATATATATATATATATATGATTATTTTTAAAGAAGGCAAAACAAATCAAATAAGGCGGAATGATTTTCATCCAGCTAAAAAACAGTTTAAGTGTAAATTGATTTAGCCCAACTGCGGGTAAGAAGGATCATGAATGCAACATCAGCCTCGGCATGGGGCACCGATACATACATGTATGATATGGCGGCATCCGTATCCGTATTTGCCTGTCACTGTGACCTCCATGGGGACAGTCACAGGAGGCTTGTGCCTACAAAGGCGACGATGGTTGGCTTGCGCTGCACCACCCACAGTTCCATCCACACACCCCATATCCGGTGTAAAGCCGAAGGAGTAGGACCGGGAGGCATGTAGCCACGTTTCATCAACGGAGTCTAGTATGGTGACATACCGAGACGGTGAGCTACGGTATCTTCCTCTTCGTGTTACTATTCTGCTGCGATTCACATCACTATGTAAGCTCCATGGTATTACTCACTAGACTATGCTATTTACATTCTGCTGCTTGAAATCGATTTGTAGCTTACATAACCGTAGCTTGACAAGCTGCCCAATGTTATAACTAGCACGACACTTAGAGAGCCGGTGCATCGCAGAATAATGGTTCAGTCCATCCATTAGCTCATTCGTATTTGACGTGCGCGCGGTGTTTCCGACCGAGTTGTGTGCTTCATACGGATCAGTGCTAGGTTGGCAAGTTATTGAGTATGTTTCCAGTTCGATGCATACGTTTTAATCAAAAGATTACCAGCGCTTAGCCGCTTACATTACGCCTAGATTGTAGTTTGCATTTGGAACACAATGCTCAACGATTGTCCCTCGTGTGACCAAGTTGGACTGTGCATTCGAAGCGAACTTTTCCTGGAAATTCTGTGGCAAGTAACAATCCACACAATTAACCGACTTGCGATTATCACGATGTCACCAGTTCATGTTCCACTCCGCAGGTTAGTGATGAGTGAGCATAGCTATATTTCCAGTTGTTCATCAGCCATACTGAATTTACCGGGGCTTATGAAAATGCACGTACTAAGCGGATGAAAAGCGGAAGCGCAGAGACGCCTATCTGAAATTGCATTCCACATGGCCAATCTTTTGGATGAACTAAGTAAAAGGTTAAACCCAACGGGAATGGTACGTCAGTGTCTTAGCATATTACATCGGAAAGCAGTCGGCGCATAGCGACAATCGTTTTGTGAGCACCGAATGGCTGCACCCGAGACGTACGCTACAGATTGTTATCACATAGCTTATGGCCACAGCAGAGTACACATCGGTAGGTACATAACGCTTGAGTACTTGGACATTTGCAAAACAATGCGAACACTGTTTGGAAATTCCATTGCTGACAGTGGGCAGCGGGACTTAATTGATGTCACGTGCCAACATCAAATATTTCGCATCAACCGTTCTTTGAATAACTGCACATACCTCGGGCAACAGATGATCGAACCGGTCGGCGACACAGAGAGCCAGAAGTGGATACTCCATCGCATTCGCTTGCTGTGCGATCTCCCCCATCAGCTACGCACATCAGACTACATATAGACGGCAACATCTAACTGCACACTATTTTACTGTACCACTTGTTTATTTATCATTCTACGTAGCAGTTGATTCACTATTCCTATCTCAAGTTTATTCAAATATGGATGCCCAATATTTAAGGTTGTTACGTCTGAATGT